TTGACATGGACATGGTAATTACGGGACAAACACACTCATCAATTAAGTTATTAGAGGATTTAAAAAAGACTATTTTAAGGACTATAAAAAATCAAATTTCACTAAGTGATTTGTTAGAAAATTTAAAAGTTGATGAAAACAAATTGAATGAAGCTTTAATAGAACTAGAAAATGAAGAATTAATTTATTTTAATAAGAAAATTAATTTAATAGAAAGAATAAAATAATTGAAATTATAGTTTAATGAATTTATCAATTATTATTTGATGAATAACTTTTCTTTTATTATCTTCAATAACATTATGAGAAACAACCTTACTTTCATAACCTTTAGCCATTAAAACAGATTTTATTATTCCTCCTGTAATAGCATCAATACAAATATAATCATTCAAATCATCTTTTTTATTAAATTTTATGAATTGAGACCAAAAAGGTTCTTCTTCTATTAACAAATACTTAATTGAGTTATCAGTTACTATCTTTTCTATTTGTCTGTTAGTGTTACTTATTAGAGATAAATATTCATATGTTATAAAATACAAAAGACCATCACAATCACTAGTAAAATCAACAGATGATACCAGTAGTAATCTCTTTCCCATGTCATATCCCAACTCAATTAACTTATCTTCAACATCAATCTCTAATTTAGATATGTTTGTTATAAAACTTGATACTATAAATCTTAGTAGAATTTCTCTAGTCATTAATTAATAAATTTCAGTTAAATTTTACCCAAATATTCTAACAAAGATGAAAGAAGATGAGAACTATTTACTTGATTTTAACAGTACAGACTCAGACATTGATTTTATAATTGATAGACCCACAATCTATGAAATAGATGAAAAGAGTTTATTAACTGCTAAAGCAGTTAATTTAGATGATGTTAAAAACAAACCATGGGATATGCCTGGTGCTGATATAAATGATTATTTTAATTACGGTTTTACTGAGAAAACTTATAAATTATTTTGTTCTATGGAAAACAACAGGCAAAATTTTGTTAAACAAAATTCTTCTAATACTTTTAATAGAAGTTCTAATCAAAGTTACTCTAAAAATTTTAATAATCAACCTAATCAAAATTATACTAAAAATTATAATACTTCTGATAAAGACTATAATAAGAGAAATTATAATGATGGATATAAAAAGAATTATAATGACAGTTATAAAAAGAATTATTATAATGATAATAATAAAAAACAATTTGATCAAAATGATAAAGTTAAAAGAGGAAGAAGATTTTAATAAAATTTTAATTACCTAAATTTCTTTAACAAAAGAGTATTATTTCTTCTCCAGGCAGCACGTTGAGATCCTCCTTTAACGTGCCCATATCCAATGCCTTTACCAAGACCCCTTGATCTTCTACCTGCAGATGTTAATCCTCTCATTTCTCTATGCTTCTTTTCACAGATAAAGTTTATCTTACGATCATTTCTAATAGCGTTATGATTAGGATCTACCATTATCACTTCAATGTAATGATGTTTAAGATCTGATCCTATACTGTAAGAACTAAGTACTCTTAATGATCCAAGTTGTTTACCAACAATTTGCTCTGCTTGATTCTGTTTGTTCAATGAAGTCTTAATTTGGTGAATACCTGCATTTACACACTTACCATGAGTGTTACCATTGTTATAATTTCTAATAGCGTCCCCCTTTCTAATCTTTACACTGAAAATAGTAAATCCTTGTTTAGCTCTGTATCCAAGTTTTCTTGCTCTTTCAGGAAAGAGTGGTTTATCTACACGATG